GGATCTCAGCTCACTGCAAGCTCCGCCTCCCGGGTTCACGCCATTCTCCGGCCTCAGCCGCCCGAGTAGCTGGGACTACAGGCACCCGCCACCTCGCCCGGCTAGTTTTTTTTTTTTTTTTGTATTTCTTAGTAGAGACGGGGTTTCACCGTGTTATCCAGGTTAATAATTTTTATAGTTTAAATATCTGCCAGGCTGTGTTGGCTGATTCAGCTGATGCAATAGAACTTGAGAATTTTTTTCTAGTGGGGCCTGCAGTTAGCATCTCATCTTCTTTAGTGGTTAAGAGTGCAGGCTCTGAAGCTAGACTGTCTTGATTTGAATCTTGAATCTACCACTCAGTAGCTCTCATCTTCAGCATGTTACTTCTTTTTTTATTTTTTATTTTATTTTATTTTATTTTTGAGACAAGAGTCTTCTCTTTCACACAGGCTGAAACGCAGTGGCATGATCTCAACTCACTGTAGCCTCTACCTCCTTGGTTCCAGCAATTCTCCTGCCTCAGCCTCCCGAGTAGCTAGGACTACCAGCACATGCCACCACGCCCAGCTAATTTTTGTATTTTTAGTAGAGATGGGGTTTCACTATGTTGCTTAAGCTGGTCTTGAACTCCTGACCTCAAATGATCTGCCTGCCTCAGCCTCCCAAAGTGCTGGGATTACAGGCCTGAGCCACCATGCCCACCCGTCAGCATGTTACTTAACTTCATCTCAAAAATGAGAATGAGTATGATACCTAACTCTCAGAGTTATTGAGGGAAATACATATGTGAATAGAGTTCTTAGAACAGTGGCTGGGATATAGTAAGAGCTCTATACATTTCACCTATTATTTAGAGTAGATCAGATTAGGTACAAGAGCTAGCATTTGAAGGCCATAAGAGGTAGATGTTGTGTTAAAAGCTTTTGCCAAGTGCAATCACTTACTTCTCCCAACAATTCTGTGCAGGAAAGAGTTACCATAGCAGCCCCGATACAGAAGGGCCGGCTTATGTGGCTGGTCCATGGCTAGCATCTGGGAACTTGGCTTTTGGAAGGTTCCCAAGTCACTAACTGATAAGGACGTTGCCCACCTGGCGCACTGAATTGTGTTGTATCGGCCTGCCTAAACTGTTTGTACAAACACTGTGATTTATGGAGAATACTTGCTTTCCTTCTGAGCGACTGGAATGCTGCTGGTTGCAGCTGGCTGAGCAAACAGAGCGTACCTATGAGAAAAGCCCCCAGTAAAAATCTTTGGCTCTGCGCCTCAACATGGTATTAGGGCTCAGAAATGGATACCCCAAAATATGGCACTTTGATATGCTGAACTGAAGAAAAAGTTACGATTTCTCTGACTTTCTCCCCTGCTTCTGTCCCTCAATCCTCTGTGTCCCCCAAAGCACTGGATAAAGTTCTCTGAAGTTCCTACCTGCCTAAGTCTGGATCTGCCAAAGAAGAAAACAATTTACCTCTCGTGCCTTCCCTGAGTTTTCATTAACTGAACTCATACGACAGGAAGACAGACTGAAGTCTGTCGACAAACCTGGTCAGAGTTTTGTCACAAACCATGGTCTGCTCTGCTGACCCAATGGACTTTGTAGTAGGCCATTGTATATTCTTCAAGCCTATTGAATCCTCCTAAAAATCATTCACACTTCCCCATCTCCCTTTCCTCTAAGAAGCAGGGGACATAGCATCTGTACTGCATTGGGATATTAGGTAATCACTCTGGTTCTCCCCGTGTACACACTAATACATTGGTTTGCCTTTTCTCCAACTGATCTGTCTTTTGTGAGTTGATTTTTCAGCCAACCTTCAGACGGGAAAGGGGATGTTTTCCCTTGGCCCCTACAAGGGCTCCCCTGGGCAGAGATATTGCACACGTGTTACTGCATTTCACGGCTAGAGGAGGGAGTCCCTTCAAGAAGGAAGAACATAGGAACCTGTGCCTGGATTTCTCCACACTCCACCTGATGTGCCCTTGTCTCTTGCTGACCCTGCTGTGTATCATTTCACTGTAATAAATCTTAGCCACGAATACAACTACACATTGAAACCTTCTAGTACACACTGAACATGTGAATGCTCATAGGTCTCTGGAAAAACAAACTCTCAAAGGTCTATCATATAACTCTAATTTTATAGTTTCAAAATCCAAGGAATGGGAAAGTTATGAGATGCAGACGCGGCCACTTAGTAGGTGAAAAAGCTGCATCTAAATCCAGTCTGTCTCCTTCCAAAGACTGTGCTCATTGCATTGTGCCAGGCAGCCATACACAGTCACATACATCCCAGACCAAGGCAAGCTTCTTTCTAAGATACAACACCTAGTAGCTACAGGGTAGCTCTGCAACTTGAGAAAATCTCTTAAAGGATTTGAAGCCCAGATTTCTTCACTGTAAATCTGCAATAATAATACTAATGCCACAAAATTGCTGTGAGGATTTAATAAGTACAACATACAAAGCATATGTGTGAAGCACATACATATTAAATACACAGTATATTAAGATCTATAAAGTAGCCTAATGCCTTTATACATGGTACCCATCCATAAATTTAAAAACTAGACAAATATGTATAGATGTGGTCAACATATAGACATTTGTATAAACATGTACATATACATGCACATATATATAGCCACATAAATACACATGCATGTTAATTATTCATCTAACAATTTCTGCCTTGAGTAAAGTGCACCAGTCACCATTCACAGATGAAGCTAGTTAGGATTTCATAGGTGAACCTGATTTTTACACTTACTGGTTTCAAAATAGGGAACCACTTTTATCCGGAAACCCTCTGCCCAAAGCCTAAAGGCTGACTTTCCTTAATGTTTAACCTATGAAATTAATTATTAGCCAGACAATTAAAAGCTTTGCTCAAGACACTAACTGGTACTTACCATGAGCTCTAACATACACAGATATGGTGGCCATATTTTCATAACTCCAAGTTACAACCTGTGACCTAGCAATGAATTACTGTGCTGGGAAACTGAAACTCCCTCAGAAACCCCAGTTTCTATACAGAATATTCAGTCCTCCTACAACCATGGAAAGCATACTTCTGTGGTTAATATTTATTATCGGCTGGGTGCAATGGCTCACGCCTGTAATCCCAGCACTTTGGGAGGCCAAGGCGGTAGATCACCTGAGGTCAGGAGTTTGAGACCTGCCTGACTGACATGGTGAAACCCTCTCTCTACTAAAAATAGAAACCCTCTGCCTCCAGGGTTCAAGAGATTTTCACTGCCTCAGCCTCCCAAGTAGCTGGGATTACAGGCATCCACCACCACTCCCAGCTAATTTTTGTTTTTTTAGTAGACACGGGGTTTTGCCATGTTGGCCAGATCACTGAGCCACTGCGCCCAGCCTCATCTGACTTTTTCTCTGCAGAGCAAAGATATGAAAGAACCAACTGTAACCCAAACCTACCACTTTTCACGGGGAAAACCCCAGTCATCCCACTCAACTCCAAGGTCACACTTACTAGCAGTAATATCCATTTGGACATTACTACCTGAGTGGCCTCAGACAAGTGATTTATCCTATTGGTGCCTTCACCTCCTGATTTGTAAAATGGAGATAATAAGAATGTTGGCTCTATAGTATTGTACATCTAAACATTTGTTAAGAAGGTAGCTCTCAGGCCGGGCATGGTGGCTCATGCCTGTAATCCCAGCACTTTGGGAGACTGGGGCAGGTGGATCACTTGAGTCAGGAGTTCGAGACCCACCTGGCCAACATGGTGAAATCCTGTTTCTACTAAAAATACAAAAACCAGCTGGGTGTGGTGGTATGCAGCTACTTGGGAGGCTGAGGCAGGAGAATCCCTTGAAACTGGGAAGTGGAGGTGGCAGTGAGCCAAGATCTGCCACCGCATGATCAGAATAACTCTGTCTTAAAACATAATAATAATAATAAAAGAAGGTAGCTCTCATATTAATGTTCTTACCACAATACATTTTTTTTTTTAAAAGTGTCTACCTCATACAGTTTATTTATTAGTAAGTTAATAAGGGTAAAAAGGATTAGCACAGTGCCTGGCACATAGTATAAAATAAATAAATGAATAAAATAGCACATCTTCTACTGTTCTCTAATTGCTTCTATAACCATGTCGTAGTCCTGACAATACTATGAACTGTTTAAGGTCAGGGATCACACCAGCACTGTGCTTCCCTGTCCATCTTCCTTTCCTCAGTGAACTGAAACCAGAGCTAGACATGTTAGGCCACCAACAGATGGCTGTGAGTCCAACTGTGGCAGAACTGCACAGGAGAAAGCAGCCTGGAATACAATACCCAATACAATGTAAACACTCTGTAAGTAGTTATTATATTGTACTGTTTAGGGAATAATGATGAAAAAATGTCTATGTGGGTGTAGTTCAGACACAAGTTTTTCCAAAGATTTTAAATTCATGGTTGGTTAAATACACAGACACAGAACCCACAGATACAAAGGGCTGACTGTAAAACACTTCTTAACCAGTAACTTACATTGCATCATTGTGATTCAGTCCTAAAAGGAAAGTGACACTTTTATGAAGGCTCTTTGGATTAACTCTTCACTGTGGCAGCTTACATCATGGTTCAGGAAATGTTTATTCTCCTCTAACAACCAACCTTCTGGGAGGCATCTACTTCCCAACTCCATATTATACTTGACTTCATGACTTGCTTTAGCCAGTTAGATAGAGTTGTGATGTTACATTACATCCAAGCAGCAGCTTTTGGAGGTGCTATAAGAACTTGCCTGCCCTCTTTAGCATCTGCAACCATCTGTTGAAAACAACACATCACAAACAGTGGATATTCCTCTAGTCTGTGTCCCAGAATGGAAAGGCATGGAGCACAGACCTGAACTTGACCCCCAGCTTGAAGACAAGCTGAACATAAGCAGAGGTGCCACTGACTTACAGATTCATGAGTGAGAAATAAGTACTTGTTGTAAGACACAAGATTTGGGGCTGCTTGTTACTGCAGCAAAAGCTGCCCAATACACTCACCATGCTGGATGATGCCATGCTCCATAAGCCGGTGGCAAAGCTGCTCTGCCTCTTTCCTTGTGGTGGCCTCACCTTCCTGAACCAGCCAGTCCAGGAATTCAGATGCCATGAAGGTGCGCTCATACTTGACCCCTTCCTCCTCCCTGGGCTGCAGGAGTGTGTTTTCAGGGCTCATCAGCCTGGGAAGAAAAAAAAGGGAAAAGAAAAATAAACCTATACAAAAGGAAAACAGCTCATTTGAAATCATAGACTTCTGTGAAGTACCACAGCAAAGTTGTCAGACAGATGCAGCTATCAGGTGCCACCACACGTATAATTTCTTTTTTTCTTTTTTCTTTTGAGACAGAGTTTTGCTTTTGTTGCCCAGGCTGGAGTGCAATGGCATGATCTCGGCTCACTGCAACCTCCACCTTCCAGTTTCAAGCGATTCTCCTGCCTTGGCCTCCCAAGTAGCTAGGATTACAGGCATGTGTCACCACGCCCAGTTAATTTTGTATTTTTAGTAGCGATAGGTTTTCTCCATGTTGGTCAGGCTGGTCTTGAACTCCCAACCTCAGGCGATCCGCCTGCCTTGGCCTCCCAAAGTGCTGGGATTACAGGCATGAGCCACTACGCCCAGCCTACCATACATGTAATTTCTAAGAGGAAGATCTGCTTCAAAAGCAACCAAGATGCATTTTATCCTAGTAATTTGAAAAAAAAAAATTGGAAATGCAATCCAAAACTCTATGATTAGCAGACTGCATTCAAGTTAGCAATCTTGAAAAGAAGTTACAATTTCATGTTCTACTCTACCATTCTGAAAACGCTAGTATTTCTTTCCTAATTGCATTATTTCACTTCTGTGCTAAGACTAATGCTGTGAACTGAGTGTTTTGTGTCCTTGCTAAATTTTTTTTTTTTTTGAGACAGAGTTTCACTCTTGTTGCCCAGGCTGGAGTGCAATGGTGCGATCTTGGCTCACTGCAACCTCCACCTCCTGAGTTCAAGCGATTCTCTTGCCTTGGCCTCCAGAGTAGCTGGGATTACAGGCACATGCCACCACACTCGACGAATTTTTGTATTTTTAGTAGAGACGGGGTTTCACCATATTGTCCAGGCTGGTCTCAAACTCCTGACCTCGTGATCCTGCCGTCTTGGCCTCCCAAAGTGCCAAGATCACCAGCATAAGCCACCATGCCCAGCCGTCCCCACTAATTACATATTGTGAATCTCTAGTCTCTACTGTGATGATATTTGCAGGTGGCGCATTTGGGAGGTAGTTAGGTTATGACGCTGGAGCCCTTGCGATGGCATTAGTGCCCTTATAAAAAGAGACAAAAGGGAGCTTGCTCTCTTTCTTTCTCTCTGCTCTTGCCATGTGAGGACATAGCCAGAAGACAGCCACCTGCAAACCAAGAAGCAGGATCAAACCAAGAAGCAGCCACCTGCAAACCAAGAAGCAGGTGTCACTGGATCTGCTGGCACCTTGATCTTGGACCTCCCAAACAAATGTTTGTTGTTTAAGCTACTCAGCCTATGGTATATTTTGTCACAGTAGCCTGAACTAAGACGACTACATAAGTGACTCTTGAAATCCTCCCGTACCCACATAGCTTGCTTCTCACACCTATCTTCCCAGGCATTCCTCAGCTCTCTGGATCCATTTTCACATCTCCAAAATAGCTCCAACTGGGCCTATAAGTGTTCTCCTATGCATCCATATATGATGCAATGTAACGCAAATGTCAGTCCTTATTCTGGTTGACATTAATACCGGTATATGGGGCCGGGAATGGTGGCTCACACCTGTAATCCCAGTACCTTGGGAAGCCGAGGCGGGTGGATCGCTTAAGGTCAGGAGTTTGAGATTAGCCTGGCTTGGCGAAACCCTGTCTCTACTAAAAATACGAAAAAATTAGTCAGACACTTTGGCACATGCCTGTAGTACCAGCTACTCAGGATGCTGAGGCAGGAGAGTCGCTTGAACCCAGGAGGCAGAGGTTGCAGTGAGACGAGTTCGCACCACTGCGCTCCAGCCTGAGTGACGGACACTCCCTCTAAGAAAAAAAAAAAAATCAATAGAAGGTACTGACCACTGTCCTCGGCTAGGGGGACATCAATCATACTCTACTGGTTTCTGACCCGCCCTCTGCTCCTATCTCTTACTCAGCTACCCTTGTGTTGGCTTCTCTGCATCTCCCTGGACTTTAAAGGCTGGAATTCCTTGAGATTCAGTCCCTACACACCTCTTTTCTCATTCCATAGTCTCTCTGGTGAGCTCCTCCATGTCCCTGTCTTCAATTACCATCCATGTTCCAAAGATTCCCAAATTTATATTCCCAGACCAGGCCTATACTCCCAACCCTACAGCTTTGCATCCACATAGATTTCTCAAAGCCACCTCAAAATCAACAAGCCCAAAACTGAGCTCACATTCTTCCTTCCAAACCTGGTCCTGTGCCAGTCAGTGCTTACACTGTTCAGCCAGAAAATGAGATATTGTCCTTGGCCCCTCCCTCTTCCTCACCCCCTGCCCAGTCATCAGTATGAACTGTGAACTTGAACTCCTAAATCTCTCTCATGTATGTCTAAGCCTTCCCATCTCAGGCATTGCCACTACCTTAGTCTAAAATACCAATACTTTTAACCTAGACAACTACGGTGTTTTCTTAATTGACTATACTATGCATCCACTCTTATTCTCAACCCAACCTTGGACACCTAAGTCTAGACATAACTATTAAAACTTTTAAAAATTCAAACCTGATAATGTCCTTCCCCTGTTGAAAATACACTTCCATAGCTTCTCATTGCTTTTAGGATAAAGACCAAAATTCTTCACATGGCATATAAAGTAAGCGTGATCCTGCCCTCTTTCAGTTCCTCAAACATACCATGCCCCATCTACCACAGGCCTTTGAATTTGCCATCTCCATGGCTAGAATGCTCTCCCTCTCTTCTCCTCACCACTCCCTCCTGTGCCTACTTGACTCCTTGTTTTGCATCTCAGTTATGGTCGGGTCTCAATTAGACCATCTCATTGCTCCCTGTACAGTTTCTGTGATTATCAGATTAAAGATAGGTCAATTGCAGGCTCCAAGAAGGTTGAGTCCACTTTTGTCCATAAAACTTTGGGGCTTTTTGGTTTTGTTTTGTTTGAGACAGTCTTGCTCTGTCACCCAGGCTGGAGTGCAGTGGCGCAATATCAGCGCACTGCAATCTCTACCTCCCAAGTTCAGGTGATTCTCCTGCCTCAGCCTCCCAAGTAGCTGGAACTACAGGCATGCACCACCATGTCCAGCTAATTTTTTTTTTTTTTTTTGTATTTTTAGTAGAGATGGGTTTTCACCATGTTGGCCGTGCTGGTCTCAAACTCCTGACCTCAAGTGATCTGCTGGCCTCGGCCTCTCAAAGTGTTGGGATTACAGGTGTGAGCTACCACACCTGGCCCATAAAACTTTGTTAAATTAAAAATTGAACCATATAAAATGCCATGGTCATTGTGCCATGTTCTTCCATACAATTATTCCTGATGAGTTCCTGATTACAGGCATGTGCCACCAAGCCCGGCTAATTTTTGTATTTTTAGTAGAGACAGGGTTTCATCACGTTGGCCAGGCTAGTCTTGAACTCCTGACCTCAGGTGATCTGCCAGCCTCAGCCTTCCAACGTGCTGGGAGCCACTTTTCTTTTATTCAACCTTGTTTTTCTCAAGAGTATAATGGTATCCTTACCCAGCTTTTGTGAAAATCATATGAGTGTGAATGAAACAACTTTGTAATAAACAATAATGTACAGTATACACAAAGTGTTATGCTATGTAAGTAATCATTGTACCTACATTGCGGCAAGATGAATTTCTGCCTTCATAGCTATGAACTCATGAAAATGGAGATTCCTTTAAGGTCCCTTCTCTCTTCCTAGAATGATTAGAGTTCTATCTGAAATCCATGGAAGGGGCTCAGGATTAGAAATTAGATGCCTGGGACCCAAACATAGCTCTGCTACAAACTAGTCATGTAACTTCTCACTGTCTCCCAAACTTATATTAAATGAGGAAGATAATACCTGTTCCACTTGCTTCACTAAATTGTTGTTATCAACAAAAATCTTGGGGGCAAGTGAAGTTCTAAGTATATGAATGTATACTTTTTTTTTTTTTTTTTTAGAGAAAGTCTCGCCCTGTCACCCAGACTGGAATGCAGTGGCATAATCTCAGCTCACTGCAACCTCTAACTCACAGGTTCGAGCAATTCTGCCTCAGCCTCCTGAGTAGCTGGGATTATAGGCGTGTGCCACCATGCCTAATTTTTGTATCTTTAGTGGAAACGAGGTTTCACCATGTTGGCTAGGCTGGTCTTGAACTTCTGACCTTGTAATCTGCCCGCCTCAGCCTCCCAAACTGCTGGGATTACAGGTGTGAGCCACTGCGCCTGGCCCATGAACGTATATCCTTATTAAGAGTATAACAGTATACAAGGTATAAGCATCTAATAGAACTCATTAAAGATCTTCTCATTCAGCATGTAACAGAAGTCACTTAAAAATCTTATGTAGACACCAAGCACGGAGGCTCACGCCTGTAGTCCCAGCATTTTGGGAGGCCAAGGAGGGCGGATCACTTGAGGTTATGAGTTTAAGACCAGTCTGGCCAACACAGTGAAACCCCATCTCTACTAAAAATACAAAAATTGGCTGGGTGTGGTGGTGCATGCCTGTAATCCCAGCTACTGTGGTAGAAGGCTGAGGCAGGAGAATCTCTTGAACCTGGGAGGCAGAGGTTGCACTGAACCGAGATCACACCAGTGTACTCCAGCCTGGGGGACAGAGCACGACTCCGTTTCAAAAAAAAAAAAAAAAAAAAAAAAATCTTATTTAGATCTTTTCCCAAATCAAACTTCTTCTGCACTTTAATCCATGCTTAGAAATAGCCAACAGGTGGTCGGGTGCAGTGGCTCATGCCTGTAATCCCAGCACTTTGGGAGGCTGAGGTGGGCAGATCACAAGGTCAGGAGATCGAGACCATCCTGGCTAACACGGTGAAACCCCGTCTCTACTAAAAATACAAAAATTAGCCAGGCGTGGCAGCGTGCACCTGTAGTCCCAGCTGCTGGGGAGGCTGAGGCAGGAGAATGGTGTGAACCCGGGAGGCAGAGCTTGCAGTGAGCCGAGATCACACCACTGCACTCCAGCCTGG